TGCTCCGATGAGAAGAAGGATGAATACTACCACGACCTAGAAAGGCCTTCCAAGATGTTCTATGCCCCAGACAAGATCATTTTGTTTTTTTCGAGTGTGCTCTCCAAAATTATGAGCGCGGCAATCCTGCTTCATGCCGTGTTTGATTACAGTGTGAGCCTAATGTTTTTTTTTCTCTGAGTGTCAGGCACTTTGAATGCTCGGGCAAACCCTCAGCTACGGCCATGCTTCTGATGAAAAAATTGGCCAACGGTGAACCTCTCGGCTGCTTGGCAGGGCAAGTCTTGAAACTTTGGATCACCTCCACTATTTGCTATGCCATGCTTCAAGGAGGCATGCTTCAAGGCCATGATTGTCCATGCGGCCGCAAATGCCCCAAATGTGCCGAGGTCCACCTGGCCGCCCCGGCCCTGGCAGTTGGCTGGACCGGCAACGCAACGGCGACCGCGAGGATCGCGGCGGCGACCGGGGCGACCGAGGAAACGACCGGCGAGGCGACCGAGGAGGAGGGGGAGGAGGAGGAGGCGACCGTGGCGGTGGAGACCGCGGAGACCGTGGAGGCGACAGAGATCGCAGAGGTGGCAGGAGAGGTGTCCGGAGGTGTCGATGTTGCCACTCTCCAGGACATGTCGAATGAAGAAAACATGTCACTGTGAGAAGTCAGTGAAAAAGCATGAAAAAGCAATGAGCATCAATGGACACCGTTTCTTTTTTGTGCATTGTAGCGTACCCAAAAAGATGGAAGCAGATGCAAGAGCACAGGAGCCGGGACCGCCGAGATGGTGGCCGCGATGGTGGCCGCGATGGTGGCCGCGATGGGCGAGACGATCGACGGGACGATCGGCGAGATGACCGCCGCGAGCGTGACGCTCGCAGCCGCTCCCGCCGCCGGGATGACCGCCGCGAAGACCGACGTGATGACCGTGGCTCAGACATCTCTCGGAAGAGCAACATGGGCTGGGTACATTTGGGAGCTGGGTGGTGTGTGGGAGCATTGTTCAGTGGGGAGGTTCAGGCAAGTGCACAGATAGATCTTCGATATGAGTTTGCAGGGGAATCAGCAAACATTGGCCTGCATTCATCAACCAGCCTGCTGGTTTGTGTGGCGCACCCTGAGACAGTTCGCAAGTTTTCCTTGAATGTTTTGGTCAGTGGTGGCAGCGACAAGCTTCTGGATCGCATGTCATGTTCTTGGAGAATTCGTGAGATATTCTCGGATTGTTTGTGCTTTCGCCAGCTCCAAACGCAGAGCGGGTTGATAGCTGAAAGGTCTTTTTCCGGGTTGGAATGTGCTGAAACTAGGGTGAGGGGTTTGCCCATAGTCCTTTTCACGGGTTAAGATCACGCAGGTGCTCGCAGGCACACATGCTGTAATACGACCCGGAGAGTGGACGCCAAGAGCAGCTGCATTCTGCGGCCCAACTTCTGCACATCGGATATACATGATAGTGATAGTTGTGCAGTCAGACAGCCACATGTCAGAGTCCAGGTGATCGACGCGACGACCGCCGTGAAGAGCGGGCGCAGCGACCACCTCCTGCAGAGGCGGGCGGTTCAGATTGCCGACCGTTCTCCAGACCTGAGACCCCGCAGTCCGTCCTCCTATCATCTAAAGTTGTTCAGAAGGACGATGGGTGCGAATCCCTAATAAATACAGTTGAAACAATTATGGATATGTGATTTGCACACACTGCTGCCCCTACTTTCCTGATCGCAACATTGCGCCTAGTCTCGAAACTCTGGAACGGGCTGGGGATCTACCTGGGAGCTCTGAACCCCTGCTACTTTGGAATCTGCTATTTGCCAAAACCCTGAAACTCACCCAGGCCCCCCTCCAAACTCGCCTGCAAGACACTTTGCAGGGAACCTTGCAAACAATTAGGAAAGCCAGCCGGCAGGCTAGGCTCAACCGGTGAGTTATGGGGGTGGGGGGGGAGGTGCTGCGAATCAGGGCAAAATGGGTGGATGGGTTAAACTGTGTGTTTTTGGGGCTCCTCGAGGAGAGTTGATGATGCTTGTTGTGCAAGTCATCGTTGAGATTGTATAACGGAGGGAAAGAAATGGATGGCCAAATGGATGGATGGAAGGATGGATTGTGGGAGCGTTTGCGTCTCCTATGCGCTGCCGCAAGTCTTTGCATCGGCGTTTGCACGCGAAGGCTTTTGAGTGAGTAGATGAGGTCCTGTTCGCACTATCAGGTTTCAACCAAGTATAAAACATGAATATAAAAGGCAAAATACTGGCCGGGTGGCAAACCAATGCATGGAACCCTGGAACTCTGTGACTTTGGAGGGTCATGTTGGCGGTTCTAAGAGGCCAATCTGTCCAATTGGTCTAGACTAGACTTGGGGATGGCAAATGTGCCCAGAGTGCACAGTTCTGTCCAGAAGAATGCTATTGGGCAGACTGCCAGGAGCCAGCCTTTGTCCCGAAGCCCAAGGGCATGCAACCGCCGGAGAAGGGTGAAGGATGCAAGGACTTCAATAGGGAATGCAAAAGCATGACCGATCACCACTTTGTGAGTTTTCGTGCCAACGTGCCCATCAGTCGTCCAAGACTTGAAGCGAGTTCACTCTCCCAACAGTCTGCGTTGTGAACGTTTTGAAAAGAATAGCTAATTCCCTTTGGGAAAGTTCTGGGTTGTTGATTCAAGACTCTTCCGGTTTGGTTCACCAAAAATCAGTGACAAAAAGAGGACACCTGCTCTTTTCAACTCATTGTGCAGCAAGGAAGCTGAAGGCCTCACGGGTGCTGCAGCTGCAGCCGCGCTGCAAGCGGGCGCCGAGCGTGTGCGAAAAGAGCTTCAAGCAAATCTGCAGGCCTGCCTGGCCTCCGGTGCAGAGTGTAGAGGGCCCATGGACCATGGAGGACTTCTTGGCCTTTTCAAAGGGACATGCAGTGCCAAGCGTCAAGCATCAAACAAACAACTCATTGAGAGAGGAAGAGGGATATGATTTTACAGATGGCTGAGCCGTCAATGGTCTTGCAAGTGCACATCCAGGATAGGACTTGCGTTTGTCTCCAAGAGAGCCAGCCCATGGCATTGAGGCATACATTCGGAAACAAATTGCTGATGGCAGACCGATGGAGGAGTGGACAGCGTGACTGCGGCTTGGCCTTGAGGCTGAACATATACCCGAGAATGATCGAACAAGATCTAGCGGGGTTGTTTTTCAGCTTGTTTGGCACATGCTGTGGGTGCAGAGGGCAGGTATTTGACACTTACTCAGGTGCATCTCTAGTTGCAGAACGACAGTGCAGATAGTGATGCATGCATGTTGAGCTACGCGCTCGCTTTTGGAGTGGAGATTGAAGGTAGCCATTGTCCTTGCCATTAGCTTAGGCTTACTTCAATTCAATCTTTCAGATTGGTTAAGGCCAACACAAAACATTCGCTCCATACTGGGTGCGTTCCCTTACGTATCTCTATTCAGGGTGCAGCACTGGCTCACCAAAGCCCCAGCGGAAGGGGTCTCGCCGGCCATTGTTCTCAAAGAACCCCACTGGCCAAGACTCGTCACAGCCGGTCTTGACTGTCTTGACCATTCGGCTCAGTGCTGCACCATGTTCCGACTGTGGTAGTTAACATAGAAGTGAACATGGCAGCCAACAGTTGCTGCCAATGCGTTAGCGTATTCAGTGTGGTGCCAGGCATATTCATGCCCAAGTGATTCATGTGTCCACGTTGACAGATTTGGTTGCGCAGTCACCCGTTCGCTCCATGATGTCCCCTGGTTGAAACTCATGGGCCCATGGGCATTGTTCGCCGGAGAGTCCAGCAAGGATCAGCTCGCAAAGAGCTTGGAGTCTTTGTATTGGGCAATGGATGCACCATCCGCATCCGTTGGAGTTTCCGCAGGGTTGGGTCAGGCTAGCCAGGCTTTGCTCATTCCCCCCAGGGCAGCAAAGAAGCAATAGCCAAGAACGACAAAGCATTGCACAACTGCTAAAACAAAGCCTAGCTTGGGACAGCCTGGCTGAATCCTACCACAAACTTCCTCTCCAGTGCAGCTCTCGAGCCTGGAAAAAGGCGCAAGGATTGACTGTGGCTGGTCCTGGTGAGCCAAATGTCAGGCAACCTGGATGTCCCAGCGATTCGCTGAATCTCGTGTCACAGAAGCGAACCGTCGCTCTTTCTGAGCGGCAGCCATGAGCAGCAGGCAACGATGCCAAGGCCTGCAGTCCAAGCTGCCAATGAAAATTGCAGCGGTGCCCGGATACATGCTGTTTGAATTCATGAGTGAGACTCCATCTCTTCATCTCAGGTTGCAAAGCGGGTTCCCTGCCATTACCAGTACCATGGCGAGCAAGGGGCTGACAAGATCGGATTGCTCATGCTGCGCATGGCCACCCCTGGGCCCGACAGGGTCTGACATTGTGGAAAGCCTCGCAACTCGCAATTTGGATGGTGCAAAAAAGAGTTCCGAACCCAAGAACATCCAAGAACTACATGTATATTATATATAAATAGAAATTAGATACTGTGGACATCCATTTGAGCGTCCGGGAAGGGGCTTCAGGTGGTGCTTGTCAAGATTCATGATGTTCATGGCTGCAACTGTGGGACCGGGTTATCAATCATCAGTGCTGTGATCTTGTATGGTCAGAATTCTGTGGGCCGTCCATGATCTCAGCAGCCGCTGAACATGCCTGATCGATTTCTTGCTCTGGCTCACAGATGTGGCATGTGATTCTAAAGCAACGAGTCATTTGTTTGCAAAACGAAGCGTTCACTCTCATGCAACAAATTCGTTGGTGCCACTAGCTGTGCTTTCTGACCTGGAGTATGGAAACTATACATATATATGTATATATATATATATTGTGTACCCATATGCGCCATACCCTCGACAACTCCGAAAGGCGCATTCGAGCATGTACCAAAATTGTCATGACAGATTTCAGAGACAGGCATGAGAAATAAGCAACTTACAATTTTGAGAGAGGAATGAGAAACAAGCTGCCTACTGTGACCACACATTTTTAGAGACAACCAAGTACTTTACCTTGTTTGGCTACATGCATTTTTGGTTCCTATGCCTCACGCTGGTGTGTGCTGGAGGCGCTTTTGGAGCAAAGGAGGGGCTAACCCCCTGTAATCACTGCAATCTGCAGCAAACCCTGCAGGAGTTTCAAGAAAAGGTTTATACTGTACGTGCCGATATGAAGCTTGGTGAGCTTGTTTGCACATACGTATGTTGAGTTGCAATCGAGGCTCAATAGGCCAGCATAGCGTGAGAAGTCGAAGTGGTGAGTAACCCGGGCCTTGAGTTGGCCATGTATTTTGTTGAGTTCACTAACTAGCTGAGTGCTGAGCTGGCCAAGTGGTGACTTAGCAAGGTTGTTGGCCCCTCAAGTGAGGAGATTGCCAGGTGTTGAGCTAGCTAAGCCACAACCTAGCTAAGCCACAACCGAGCTGGAAGTTGAGCTGGTGTTATGTGGTAAAGTCATTGGCTGCTAGTGGCGCCGAGTTGGTTGAGCTTTGAGTGTTTTGAGATGTTTTAAGTCTTTGAGGTAGCTTAGAGTCTTGAGCTGTCGAAGATTTTTGAAGGTTAAGCTTTGACCAAATAAGTCGCGTTGAGGAAGGCAGTTGTTATATATTTACCAGGCTACCGCCTGCAGCCGCCGACCCCCAAGGGATAGAACCTTAGCGCTAGCCTTGCTCTATGTTAGCCTTAGCCTTAAGCCTTAGCCTTAGCCTTAAGAGTGCAGACCCAACCCAGCACCACCAAAGCAGGTACCCAAAAAGTCGACTTTTTGGGTACCTCCCAGATTTACCATCAGAATTTAGACCCAACCCTTCACCACCAAAGCAGGTACCCAAAAAGTCGACTTTTTGGGTACCTCCCAGGTTTACCAATTTAGACCCAACCCAGCACCACCAAAGCAGGTACCCAAAAAGACAAAGCCTAGAGCATTCCTAGGAAAATGCCAGAAAAGCCTTTGAAAATCTCATAAACCAACAGAAAACGTGACAAAGTCTACGAAAAAAACAAGGGCACTGGCCTGGACCATGCCGCGACCAGCCCGGGATTCGAGCCCAGGACCATTTTGGACCGTGCTTATTTTCCCGCGCGGGTCGAGAGGGTGCCCCAAGATGTAAATCAATTGGGGATGGCAGATTCTTGGACAATCCAGGTCGCTTTCCTGGCGAAATTCGACCGGATTTCGTCACTCCAACAAGGGTCCGGAGGGGTAGGGGAGGTAAGGTCTAGGTCTAAGGCTAAGGACTAGGTCTAAGGTCTAAGGCTAAGGCTAAGGCTAAGGCTTAAGGCTAAGGCTAACATCGACAGTCACGCCTCACCCCACGGTGTGGGGTCGGCGGATATAATATATACAGTTACTTGAGCGTTGATTTGTGCTGAACACCGGTGATCGGCCATTTGTGGTAAGTAGTGAGTAGTGGCGACATGCAACATTGACTCGTATTTTGTGTGTATGTGTGTGGGATGTGCATCAAGTCATAATGAACCGCCAAATGTTGCCCCCTGAAGTGCCTGTACATCCCAGCAAGTCGAGCAACAACCTAGCGCCACTCCAATCCGGAGTGCAACTACAAGGTGGTTGTCCAACGGGTGAAGCCTAACGAATCCGAACCACAGTGCTATTGGTGACCACGCTGCACCAGTAGCTTTCCCCCGTGAAAGCGAAACATAGCATGCCCCGTTCTGCGCGGGGCTGGTTCTATTTCAGGTGCAGTTCATTCTTGCAACCAACCGCTCACGTTCTTAGGAATCTCCCGCGCACAGCTTGTTTTGTGTTTGTAATTTCGGCAGTTCTGCAGAACCAACACATGCATTTCAGTCAAAGCATGTAGCAACGTAGCTTGTGAATTGGATTTTGTTGCTTATTCTAGATTCTAGCTGTGCTCCCTCCACTTGTGGCTTCTGTTTCATGAACTTGCATGATAGTGAGCACGGGGTCATTGTACGACATTTCTAGACTGAGCCTGTCATGTGCTGAATCAGGCTTAGATGTGGCACCTCAATCGATGGATGCCTTCTCAGCACACAGGGGATTGGCCTTTCAAAGCATCCGCTTGACCAATCCGTCTCTCGTCTTTCAAGTGATTTTTGACGTGTCTTGAGTCTTTCCTCTTTTTGGAGAATTGCTTGCTAAGGAAAAAGCGCGGAGTTCTTTTGACAAATGCACATGGCAACTAGTAACTTGATGGTTTCGCGGCAGGTCAGCGTTTGATGTCGCAGTGCAGCTCAGAATCTCCAGGCAGTTTTGCAATGTCTTTCATCCACCGTCTGTTCCAGACTGGACGTTGCAGTTTCAGTCTAAAGTGTGGCAGCACAGTTCAGCAGATCTGCTGACCTGCTCCATTGAAAGTCAACACTTGGAGATCCGGTCGGCCCCGCACGCGCGACCCGGACACTGCACGTGTCCAGGCCGAGGCCGAGGCCTTCGGTGAGAAGGCTGGGGAGTGTTCCATCGCATGGGCAGGACTGGGGCGCTGTCAAGAAGACGCAGGCATTGCGCTGTCAAGAGATCGACTTGAGTAAGCTGCCTAACATTGCCCTCTCCTTCTTTTGATGGGATGAAGAACGGACATGGGAGGGCGACCCAGCTGCAGGATTCGCAGAAATGCGCCAGCCCAAGTAGGCGGGAACATGCGGATTGGAGGTCATTTGGCGCCTGGATGTAGGTCAAAAGCAAGAAACACCAAGGATGTGGGCCACAAGACCCACGAGTCCAAAACCAAGCTGGACCAAACCGGACTTGCCAGGTTGCTAGCCCGTTTCCACAAAGTGGAAGGCAGGAAAGCTGTGTGCGTGACATGTGGTGAATCCAATCGTTTGTACAACTAGTCACGGCCGATGTAGTCCTTCCTCGTTGTTGCACACTTGGTTCGCTTGGCTGGAGAAAGGTGGACCCACTTATATAAATACAGTACATCTTTTTTCCTGATCCTTTTCGAGGCGATGTCGATGGAGTTCTTCATCGGAGGCTTCGGGAGGACAGCCAAAGGACCAAACGATGCCAAGCGATTTTCCGGAATCGTCAGACTCATGCAAGGAGCTTCACAATTCATATGCATGGCAACATCTGCCAAACCTGGACATGGAGATTTTAGACACCTGCGATGGTCCGGCCAAAGTGCTGAGCGACTTGGCTCGAGGGGGGACCTCATTGCACTTCTTGATCCATAAGACAGGTCACCTCACATTGTAATGCTTTGTACGCCTTTCCGTTTAGTTCTTATTGAACTCAGACAGAGTACCTTGCGTTAGATCAAGCGTTTGATGGACCATTGCCGTTTTTCTTGAGTTTTGCAGGTGAGCTAACAGCGAAGTATGGCTCCATGTGGCTAGGTTTCGGTCCAGTTGGCCGATGTTGCTTCACCTTTTCTTGTGTATGCCGCATATGCAGCATTCTCGATTTCCTCGCATTCTCAAGCCAATGATGGAGAAGTGTTGATCTCAATCGGTTTCTGAGGCTCGAGTTTGCAGAGATGGATCAGTTTGTTTATCCCAACAGCATCCCTGACGATCCTCATTGGCCGAGACTCTGGGGTTTAGACAAGATTCGAATGCTGGATGCCTGGTCGAGATTGACCGAACTGGGTTTGGATGGCGAAGAGACGGTGGTTGCCGTGATCGACACTGGGGTACAGTTGGACCATCCCGATTTGATGGATTCCTTGTGGACTAATCCTGGGGAAATCCCGGACAATGGAATCGACGACGACGGGAATGGCTTTATTGATGATGTTCATGGCTATGACTTTGCAGGTTTGCGCCTTGGAAATTTTTCTGAGCAGCCGTAACCATGACTTGAGCATTTCTCACCCATTGGAGGAGAAGATGGGCATCCAGACGATGACAATGGTCATGGCACCCATTGTGTCACTGAGCTGCGCACTTCGAAAACCGTGCTCGCTGTGTCACCGTGCGCCCAGCTTCCACGTTTTATGACTTTCTTGCTTTGACTGAGGCTGGAATTTTGGCTGCCACTGCGAACAATGGCCACTTGACAAGTGCAGACCAGTTTTTTTGTTCAACCTCTCCAGCCAGGAGTTGGCATCGCTGGTGTGGCCAGCAGGCTTGCCAAGGCAGGTTAAGACATGATGTGGATTCGAGATTTCGATAGATTTGACGTATCAGGAATATTTTTGTGCATGACTGCGCCCCGTTTTCCTGCACCTAGACACGGTAAAGAGCGAAACAATTTTCTTCGAGGTGTCGGATGTGGCCAGGTACGCATCATGGCTTTGCGGTTCCTGTCGGCAGACGGTACAGGTGGAACTGTGTCGGATGCGGTGAGGGCGAAGCTTGCTCGCAAGAAGCAGCCTTGGCTGGGCCGCATCAGATGTGGAGTTGTATGGATAGGAGTTAACAGCGATGACCAGGATTGAGATTTCACCGAAGTGACAGAACAGAACCACCCCGATTTTGGGAATGAGGCTAGAATATGCCTTGTCCTTCGGCGTGCCAGTGTCTTCAAATAGCCACCTGGAATAAGTTGTAGACCTGCCCAGTCGCACAGGTCGTGACACCTGTCGAGCGAGGTTGGGGAGGTGCGGACACCTCTGATGCTTTGAAGGTAGCCATCCGGCGAGCCAGTGAGGCAGGGAGATGGGCATCAACCGTTGCTATGTCATATGTGGTTATTTCAAGAACAAATGCAAAGACTACACAGAGAGAAACAAAGAGGAGGTAAGGGTCCCTTCAATGGTCCCCTTTAAAGGAATAGATTCTTAGTGTTCCTTTGCCCCAAACAGTTTACTGTCTTTGTGTTCTTTAGGGTTCCCTTTGTCTGACGGGAACAAAGATACTGGCTATAGTCTCTGGCCGCGCCTCTGAACCCTGTGTCCCTTTGGCCGCGCTACCGTGAGGTGTCCTCTGGCCGCGGTGTCCTCCTGCCCTCCTGGTGGCCTGGTGGCCTCTTGCTGTCCTGTGGCCACACTCGCGAACTTCAACTTGTCCTCCTAGTCTCCTCCTGCTATCCCATAGCCGCACTCGCGAACCCTGTCTCTAGCCATGCTTGCCAACTTTGTGTCCTCCTCTTGCCCCCCTTCCGTCCCCTGGCAACGCTTGCGAACGCTGTGGCCTCCTTGCTGTGGCCGCGCCGTGTGCTTTCTTTTCCGCCTTGTCTGAGCTTGTAGGCCGCGCCGCCTTGTCCAAGTCTTGCCCTGGTCTGTCTGTCCGTCTGTCTGTCCTGCTTGTCCGCGTTGTCGGCCCTTTTGCCACCGCCTTGTCCAGGCCTTGCCCGCTGCTTGGCCACTCCGCTTTTCCTTTCTCCACCGCCTTGTCCGGATATGTTTTCGCATGGTTTCGCGTGGCTATGAATGCAACAGTGGCGCAGCGTTTCAAATTTCATATTGCCATCGGATTTCTCATGACATATAAATTAAATATATCTTTATTTATATCCCCTCGTTTTTGCACATGTGGCCAGAGAATAAAGAACTCTTGTTTTCAAACAATGCCATTGGAAACTATAGGAATATAAATTTAGAGGCTACCACCAACACGGGAATTCAAGGAGTTGACGTGAAAACACAGCAGAAACTGCTTGAGGTCTATGCTGACATAGGGCTTAAGACCTCCTTTGGTAGCTGGGGATGCTGTGTGCCTAGGCAGCGGTGTCTTTAGAGACAGATTCCACCACTGGGAGAATGATAGGAATGTGTTCTGGTGAGAGGTAGTGACATGAAGGACAGCTTTTGTGCAAAAGGACAGCTGGATTGCGTTGACCTTGCATTCTGCGAAGGCTGGACATCTCTTTGTCGCACCTGCGGGCAACAGTGGGACTGAAAGTTGGACTTCAGTGATGACACACCCGGACCTGATTTGACAGAGTAGAATTTTGCTAACCTTATTGACCCTACGGATCTCTGCTGATGTGACACTTGTGCCTTCGGCCTCACAGATTTTCCCATCAGGAGGAGCATATCAGACGGTGGCTAGGCAGACGTGGACATTCAGTTGGTTTGTGTCCTTGAGCTGGACAGGCATTCATGCAGCATGGTCATGCCTCTTGGGCCGTCCAAGCATTGAAATGCCGACAGTGCCACCCAAGGAACATATTATCCTTGTGTCTACCGTCAGGCTGGAGTTTGGACCTGAGTGCGACCCTTCAAGCCTGACCCTTGTGGTGCCTTGTTGTGCCTTAGCTCTGCATCACGATCCTTGACGCAGAGCTCAGGTGTTGTGCGTGGCTGCCAGTGATCAGTCCGACCAGCTGACTTCCTTCTCAAATTATGCACCAGAGTACGTGCTCCGCTGAGCTTCAATGTGATCGTCAAGTTTCTTTAGCCTTTAAGGATCCTGGCGGTATGTTTGAGACATGGTGTGGCTTCCTCAGGTGGAAATTGCAGCGCCGGGAGTTGATATATACAGCACGTACACTGGGTGCTGGGCCAAGCCTTGAGCCGAATGGCATGCAGCCACCAATACTATCCGAAAAATGCTTCCAGAATAAAAAGTAGTCAAAGAAGAGCAGGGTTGTTGACACAGTTAGGACAGATAATTGTGGCGATGCATAAATTACTTTGGGGCAAACCTTCCACTTTATTTTTTAATAAATAAACGCGCACAAGGTCTGGCTATCGTTCCGAGTTTGGCACGTCAATGGCTACCCCGTATGTGGCTGGGGCAGCATCCCTGGTGGTCAGTGCGTTTGGCTACAGCAGGACACATGTCAGGCCAGTGTTGGTGCGGCCTGCGGCGTTCAGCTTTCAGGAAGGTTTTGTAGAATCACCTAGCCATCATAGGAAGTGCTAGGCACTTCCCATGTTGACTTTTGTGGTGTCACTTCGCACCTCAGCAGTCGCGGCGGTGAGTCAGCCTTCTAGTCCTTCCTTGGCGATTGGAACATATTGGAACCCTTGCAATCCCCTTTTTTCTTTTGACATGTGCGTTCGGCATCCCTGCGATATCTACAGCGGTGGCATTGAACAGTGGCATGCTGTCATGCTGTTTTGCTGAGAATGGGCCAGGCAGTTGTTGCTTGATTCAGCGGTTCTGGCAGACAATTTCAAGGGGAAGGTGGATGGAGGTGGGTTGATTCTTGAGGGTGCGAACTCCTGTCTAGATGGGCAACTAGCTGACACAAGATGATGATGAATCAGTGATCGGAGCTGTGAGGCCGCTTGGATGTCCTGAAGTTAATCGAAAGATCCGAGCCGGACTTTCTCTTTTGGTTTGACTCGGAAGGGGCCAGGACTGCAATGGTGTCTGCACCATGGCAAGGGCTAGACAACTCTTGGAATCAAAAGTGACTGCTGTTGACTCTGCAGAGAGCAGGCTAGCGGGAGCTACACAGATGATAGCATGAGAAGCCTGCACTCTCCTTCTTTCCTGCACCCGCTCCACCACCACCATTGTTTGAGGTAATAGTTGCAGCCAACAGCTCCAAGTTGGTGGAGCTTCAGATTGGATCAGACAACATTTTACCCGGCACTTATGAAGCGGAAGTGCACACAAGCTGGCACGATGGTGAGGAGACAATCCCTGTGTCTTGACTCTTGACACTGGTAGACTGGGACAGCAGCAGACCAGCATGGCATTGCATCGCATCACACGTCAAATCGTTGAGCTGGGCAATTGTGTTTTGCCTGTGCTTTTGATGTCGAGAGGGTGTTTTTCTTTTTCAGAAGCCAAGGTGGTTTACACTGTTCAAGGCCAACCACTACTGCATTTGGAGCAGCATAGCCTCGAATGGGCACAGGTGGGGAACGCTCCAGTCTTTGGTGAGGCCACCTAACTTGCGGGCAGGGCAAACTACCCAAGTTGCAGGTGCCAAGCAATGCCACTGCGAGCCAATATTTGAACATTACCAACTCGGGAGCCTTGCTTGCGATTTTTTTGCATCTTCCGGCAATCCCGAAGATAGGCGTGCAGAGGCGAGGGCATAATTGTCGTCTCATCATATCTCATAATCTCGTTGATTATTATGTGGAAGGCCATTGCTATTAGGTTGGAGGCCATCCCTTTTAGGTTGGAGGCCATCGCTTTTAGGTTGAAGGCCATCGCTATTAGGTTGGAGGCCATC